GAGCATGCGCAGACCAGCTGGCTGGTGTGTTTATGGACATATTCAATCTCTCCTGTTCCCACATGCTTCAAGATGGCCACCATTGTTCCTGTACCAAAGCAAAGGTAACTGAACTAAATTACTATCGCCCCATAGCACACACCTCTGTCATCATGAAGTGCTTTGAGAGTCAAGGATCATATCACCTCTACCTTACCTGTCACCCTAGACCCACTTCAATTTGCATACCGCCCCAATAGATCCACAGACGATGCAATCGCCATCACACTGCCCTATCCCATCTGGACAAGAGGAATACCTATGTAAGAATCCTGTTCATTGACTATAGCATTCAACACCATAGTACCCTCCAAGCTCATCATTAAGCTCGAGGCCCTGGGTCTGAACCCCGCCCTGTGCAACTGGGTCCTGGACTTTCTGACGGGCCGCCCCCAGGTGGTGAAGGTAGGAAACAACATCTCCACTTCGCTGATCCTCAACACTGGGGCCCCACAAGGGTGCATGCTCAGCCCCCTCCTGTACTCCCTGTTCACCCATGACTACGTGGCCAAGCACGCCTCCAACTCAGTCATCAAGTTTGCAGACGACACAACAGTAGTAGGCTTGATTACCAGCAATGACGAGACCGCCTACAGGGAGGAGGTGAGGGCTCTGGGAGTGTGGTGCCAGGAAAATAATCTCTCACTCAACATCAACAAAATGAAGGAGATGATCGTGGACTTCAGGAAACAGCAGAGGGTGCATCCCCCTATCCACATCGACGGGACTGCAGTGGAGAAGGTGGAAAGCTTCAAGTTCTGTGGCGTACACATCACCGACAAACTGAAATGGTCCACCCACGCAGACAGTGTGGTGAAGAAGGCGCAACAGAGCCTCTTCAACCTCAGGAGGCTGAAGAAATTCAGCTTAGCACCTAAATCCCTCACAAACTTTTACAGATGCACAATTGAGAGCATCCTGTCGGGCTGTATCACCGCCTGGTACAGCAACTGCACCGCCCACATCCGCAGGGCTCTCCAGAGGGTGGTGCTGTCTACCGAACGCATTACCGGGGGCAAACTACCCGCCCTCCAAGACACATACAACACCCGATGTCACAGGAAGGCCAAAAAGATCATCAAGGACATCAACCACCCGAGCCACTGCCTGTTCACCCCGCTATCATCCAGAAGGCGAGGTCAGTACAGGTGCATCAAATATGGGACCGAGAGAATGAAAAACAGCTTCTATCTCAAGTCCATCAGACTGTTAAAAAGCCATCACTAGCACATTAGAGGATGCTGCTGCCTATTGAAATCACTGGCCACTTTAAGAAATGAAACACTAGTCACTTTAATTATGTTTACATATCTTGCACTACTCATCTCATATGTATATACTGCATTCTATTCTATAATATTCTACTGTACCTTAGTCCATGCTGCTCTGTCATTGCTTGTCCATATATGTATATATTCTTAAATCCCATTCCTTACTAGTTTTGTGTGTATTGGGTATATGTTGTGAAATTGTTAGATATTACTGCACTGTCGGAGCTAGAAGCACAAGCATTTCGCTACAACCGCTATAACATCTGCTAAACACGTGTATGTGACTTGATTTGATTTGATTTGATAATGTTAACTACGTTACCTCAGCTTGACTTATTTTTTTGCTGTGCAGATGTTGGCTGATCGGATAGCTCCCTCTTTGAAGGAAGAGGAAAATCGATAGAATAGCATCACTTTTCCACGTTCGTCAACATGGCAACCCCATCAGTTGAGATTTCAGTTCCATTCCTCTGGCTGAAAGTGCTGGCTACAAATACAGACATTTTGATATTTCTCACACCTCCACAGGGCGGTCCTCCAAGTTTAGATTTAGTTTGTAGTTTTCCTTACAGTCAGGCAATGTAGCTGGCCCGTTTCTACCGGTGAGATGCAGAAATGCTCATATTTGCGTGTAGTGAGGAAATTAAAACATTTTATGAAACATTAATGGACATACAGTATATAGTGAAATAGAACAGCGGTGAAATTTCACTTTAAGGCAAAAACAAAATGAGGGTGGTTGGTCAGGGTGGTTTGTCGGGGTGGATGGGAGCCGTATAACCGTTAAGGTTAGGGTTAGGTTTAGAATCACATTTTAAAAAGAGAACTTGTCGAAATAGGCAGGGTTTATGACTTTGTGGCTGTGGTAAATAACATTAGCATTAGCCACCTAGCTAACGTTAGCCACAACAAATTGGAATTCATAAGATATCATACGTATTGCAATTTTGTAACATATTGTAAGAATTGCAATTCATAACATATCATACTAAATGGAGAGAGAAAAATGTACAGCTATTATGTTACGTCTACCCCTGAGTCCAGGTTGCAGCACAGGGATGGCTAACACTAGAGGTCCCATTGATCACTATGGAATTAGGTAAATCTGCTTTCAGTTTTTTTGCGCATAGCATATGGAATGATCTGCAGAGCTCTACACCTTGATGCTCTTGTTACCTCTAGGGCAGTTCAAGTTGTTGATTGAGGACCTTGTTGAGGAATGTGATTGCTTTTCTTAAATTGCTTATAAATATTGTACGTTTTTATTACGTTGTATTTGTAAATTTGCTACATTTTGTATAGGCTAATTTGTGTAGCTTATTACATGCAGGGCTCCCTTGCAAAAGAGGCATTGGTCTCAATGGGATTTCCCTACTAAAATAAAGGTAAATACATTATTTAAATCCTGGTGATACAAATGCTGTTTCAAAAACACTGTCTATTTCCAATTACATTCTATAGCATAGGCTACTAAGCAATTGCCCAATTTCTATAATTGCTGAAAAATGTGTAGCCTATCCACACCAGTGTTTAAGTCAAATTGGTCCCACAATGTTGTGATTTAACAGATTACTGCAGGATTAAGGTCAAAACGAATCCAGTGAATCTGCCTCTGTTGACCTCGATATGGAGGGTCTGCTGCTGCAGCCAGCCAGACTGCAACACCCACTTATTACTGACTATTTACGGTAATACTGCAGGATGCTGGTTTTGTGCATTTTATTTCAGACATGTTTTTTTTATGTATTTATTAGGCCTATAGTGACAGTGCATTGTTGTTGCAAAAAAAATATGATGCAATGAAATCCAGTATAGGCTGTTAAAATCTCTTTATTTCTCTGCATTTTTCAAAGACTATGTTTTCAATGTGAATTCATTCAGTTATTTGAAGTGGATGAAATAGTTGTAGTTATGGATGTACTCTACAGACATCCATGTGATCAGTGATGACCTTGAAAAGGACATAGGAAAGGATGCCATTGTGAAGAATTTACACTCCATCAGTATGATGTCAAATTAAATCAAATTAAATCCAATTTTATTGGTCACATGCGCCGAATACAACAGGTGCAGACATTACAGTGAAATGCTTACTTACAGCCCTTAACCAACAGTGCATTTATTTTTAACAAAAAAGTAAAAATAAAACAACAACAAAAAAAGTGTTGAGAAAAAAAAGAGCAGAAGTAAAATAAAATAACAGTAGGGAGGCTATATATACAGGGGGGTACCGGTGCAGAGTCAATGTGCGGGGGCACCGGCTAGTTGAGGTAGTTGAAGTAATATGTACATGTGGGTAGAGTTAAAGTGACTATGCATAAATAATTAACAGAGTAGCAGCAGCGTAAAAAGGATGGGGTGGGGGGGCAGTGCAAATAGTCCGGGTAGCCATGATTAGCTGTTCAGGAGTCTTATGGCTTGGGGGTAGAAGCTGTTGAGAAGTCTTTTGGACCTAGACTTGGCACTCCGGTACCGCTTGCCGTGCGGTAGCAGAGAGAACAGTCTATGACTAGGGTGGCTGGAGTCTTTGACAATTTTGAGGGCCTTCCTCTGACACCGCCTGGTATAGAGGTCCTGGATGGCAGAAAGCTTGGCCCCAGTGATGTACTGGGCCGTACGCACTACCCTCTGTAGTGCCTTGCGGTCGGAGGCCAAGCAGTTGCCATACCAGGCGGTGATGCAACCAGTCAGGATGCTCTCGATGGTGCAGCTGTAGAATTTTTTGAAGATCTGAGGACCCATGCCAAATCTTTTCAGTCTCCTGAGGGGGAATAGGCTTTGTCGTGCCCTCTTCACGACTGTCTTGGTGTGTTTGGACCATGATAGTTCGTTGGGGATGTGGACACCAAGGAACTTGAAGCTCTCAACCTGTTCCACTACAGCCCCGTCGATGAGAATGGGGGCGTGCTCAGTCCTCTTTTTTATCCTGTAGTCCACAATCATCTCCTTTGTCTTGGTCACGTTGAAGGAGAGGTTGTTGTCCTGGCACCACACGGCCAGGTCTCTGACCTCCTCCCTATAGGCTGTCTCATCGTTGTCGGTGATCAGGCCTACCACTGTTGTGTCGTCGGCAAACTTAATGATGGTGTTGGAGTCGTGCCTGGCCATGCAGTCATGGGTGAACAGAGAGTACAGGAAGGGACTGAGCACGCACCCCTGAGGGGCCCCCATGTTGAGGATCAGTGTGGCAGATGTGTTGTTACCTACCCTTACCACCTGGGGGCGGCCCGTCAGGAAGTCCAGGATCCAGTTGCAGAGGGAGGTGTTTAGTCCCAGGATCCTTAGCTTAGTGATGAGCTTAGAGGGCACTATGGTGTTGAATGCTGAGCTGTAGTCAATGAATAGCATTCTCACGTAGGTGTTCCTCTTGTCCAGGTGGGAAAGGGCAGTGTGGAGTGCAATAGAGATTGCATCATCTGTGGATCTGTTGGGGCGGTATGCAAATTGGAGTGGGTCTAGGGTTTCTGGGATAATGCTGTTGATGTGAGCCATGACCAGCCTTTCAAAGCACTTCATGGCTACAGACGTCAGTGCTACGGGTCAGTAGTCATTTAGGCAGGTTATCTTAGAGTCCTTGGGCACGGGGACATGTGTGTTTGCATGTGCTTATGTGTGTATCTGTGTCCTTGGGCACAAACATGTGTGTTTGCATGTGCTTATGTGTGTATAGGCATATATTATTTTCCTCCCTCAGGTGAATCTGCGGCTGAGGTCATTGATGCGATGGATGCCGTTCTGGTTCTTGATGGTCCTGTGGACGGTGATGAGGAAGGGGAAGGCGGGGGGCAGCTCCACACTGCGGCTCAGCTTCTGGTGGCCCCAATGGAGGCAGCGCAGCCTCTCAGCCAGGTCGCAGCGCCCAGCATGCTCCACATTGTCCTGAAGCAACTTGGTCTTGTTGGGCTTATCCCACGACCTCTCATACCTGGGATCGGAGGGAGATACAGGGATGGGAGGGAGAGAGGGGGATGGGAGGGAGAGAAAGTAGTGGTGGAGACATTTAGAAGGGCAAAAAGGACAAAGGGGAAGAGAGTTTAACATTGTCTCTGCATTGGAAATTATAATTTTCTATAGATAATGAATGTAATGACTGGCCAATCAGAACGTGCTCCATGGTGAAATATGTGGTTGCTTCAAGTTGTGTATTTACAGTCGTTTATGTATTCCCTTGGAATCAACTCCAATTCCAATGTTAGTGGGTTATAGTTTGTTAAATGGCTTACAGAAATGAAATAACAAAATGTAGACCTATCTTTGCTAAATACGTTAACTTGAACCCATTTGCAGTCCACATTGTTCTAAGTAATTCCATAGCTTCAATAGCATTCACACTGATATAGGGGCTAGGCCTACTGTAAATTACATTATGGCTGAGCATGGACATGCCAAACATTGTCAATAAGCAAGTTAAATTAATTGTTGATAAGGCCTAAAAAGAGAATGAATAACTCTAATCAATTCTAAACAAAACAAATCACTTGTTTTAAATAGGCAATGTCACACTTACAGACACCATAATTTCTCCCCGTGAGCATATAATATTTTAACAACACAGACTATGGAGGGTTTTATGCACATCACGTTGAAATCAAGGCCGGTCCGGACCGCACCAAAAAAAAAAAAAAAAGATGTCCAAAAGATGTCAAATGCTTAGTGGAAAAGCTTGTGCTTTATTTATGATAGTTTTACAGCTTGCAGAAGATGAAGTTGTAGACATGTTATTGTTCTCAGAAATCAGTCCTGAGCGCACAACCAGACTTTCCCTACTCGATAGGCTGTATGCAGTGCAATAACTATTTTTTAATTTACAATTTTTTACTTGAGAATTACACCTCAGGTAGATGTAAAATTGCGTGACTAACCTCCTCGGCAAAAACGTCTACATTAAATACAGATTTCTTGATTTCTCTTCTGACTATTTTAAGGAAGTGGCTATGTTGTTGCTTTAGTGACTCAGGAGGGACAAACAACAGTACCTTCCAGGGTACGATATGCGAACATAACACACCCACATCCCCAAGAACACTCTCGTTTGGTTTCAGTCGTTTGGCTAGCATTTCTTAATCCTTAAATCTATTTACGCACATGATTCCACCCATGCGTCAATCTAAGTAACATAATAAAAAAATCCCTATCAAAATCCGTCAGTTTAAGATAGAGATATTTTTTGCATGCAATCCACTGCATCCGCCTATGTCAGCCTTCCACATCTGCGGTGGAAGGTGGCCGAGCTACAGCGGCGTTTGTCAGACCATGAGACATCCCGAAGATCGATCTTCTCACGAAAACGTCTGTAGTGTCCGAACGGTTTGACCCACAGGACTAATTTTAAGTCGATAATGTGCCAACTTCTGTCTATAGCGTCCGAACCGTTTGGGCTATAAACTAATATGAACCCACTGTTGGGAGACTCTCATGAACGTGATGGTGTTCTCTGTTTTGCTCTACGACCCCCACAAGTGTCACGGGACTCGTCTGAAGGTAACAAATAAGTTACGTAAGTTAAGGAGGAAGTTTTGTTCAGATGATAATACCCAATAGAGGGCGAAATATTCTTCAAACATGTTGTCAGGAATAAAAGATAACCTCACCTCCGCTTTAAAGAACAACTGCCCCTAAAAATCAATGAATCGCTTTGAAAATGGCCTATGTGGCATTGATATGAGTCAGAAACATTTATTCTAGTGTCAAAATGGACTGCAAAGTGTAAATAGGAGAATTTTGGTCAGTCTTGTCTAAAATGGAGTTTGGAACCTGAGTGTGTCACAATTAGTAATTTAAGGTTGGGTTTGGAATATAATAATGTAAACAATTCATGCCCTCTTTTGCCAAGCTCCACGTGCAAATAGCCCCTGCCCACTTCTCTTCCCTTTACTGAATGGGGCTCGGTTGTTTCATCACCCCTAACGTGTTCAAAGGATCACAGCCATTTGAGACTGAAAAGCCAGTATCTGGTGTAGCCACCAGCTGCATTAAGTACTGCAGTGTCACGAATGTCTGTGGAATGCGGTAGGCCAGAGTCAAGCGCAGGACACAGAATGAGATGAAGAAACACTTTACTGAGTAGTAAAGAAATACAAGCAAAAAAACTCCACAACCAGGGAGGAGCAAACCCGCTCACAAAATGACACTCGTACAAGCAAATAAACACGCACACCACACAGTGGACGTGAACAGGTTAAATAGGGAAGACAAACTAACATAATAGGGAACAGGTGTGCAACAACAGACAACAATCAAATTAACATAGAAACACATAACATAGAGCGGCAGCAGCTAGTACTGCGGTGACGACGAACGCCGAAGCCTGCCCGAGCCAGAAGGAAGGGCAGTCTCGGCAGAATACGTGACACGCAGTGCATCTCCACCTCATGGACTGCACCAGATTTGCCAGATCTTCCACCAAGGCACCTGCAAGTTCCCGGACATTTCTGGGGGGAATGGCACTAGCCCTCACCCTCCAAACCAACAGGTCCCAGATGTGCTCAATGGGATTGAGATCCGGGCTCTTCGCTGGCCATGGCAGAACACTGACATTCCTGTCTTGCAGGAAATCACGCACAGAACGAGCAGTATGGCTGGTGGCATTGTCATGCTGGAGGGTCATGTCAGGATGAGCCTGCAGGAAGGGTACCACATGAGGGACGAGGATGTCTTCCCTGTAACGCACAGCGTTGAGATTGGCTGCAGCTCAACACTCAGCTCAACGCTCAGCTCAAGCTCAGTCCGATGATGCTGTGACACACCGCCCCAGGCCATGACGGACCCTCCACCTCCAAACCGATCCCACTCCAGAGTACAGGCCTCGGTGTAATGCTCATTCCTTTGAAGATAAACGTGAATCCGACCATCACCGCTGGTGAGACAAAACCGCAACTCATCAGTGAAGAGCACTTTTTGCCAGTCCTGTCTGGTCCAGTGAAGGTGAGTTTGTGCCCATAGGCAACGTTGTTGCCGGTGATGTCTGGTGAGGACCTGCCTTACAACAGGCCTACAGGCCCTCAGTCCAGCCTCTCTCAGCCTATTGCGGACAGTCTGAGCACTGATGGAGGGATTGTGCATTCCTGGTGTAACTCAGGCAGTTGTTGTTGCCATCCTGTACCTGTCCCGCAGGTGTGATGTTCGGATGTACCGATCCTGTGCAGGTGTTGTTACACATGGTCTGCCACTGCAAGGACGATCAGCTGTCCATCCTGTCTCCCTGTAGCGCTGTCTTAGGTGTCTCACAGTACGGACATTGCAATTTATTGTCCTCATGCCTCCTTGCAGCATGCCTAAGGCACGTTCACGCAGATGAGCAGGGACCCTGGGCATCTTTCTTTTGGTGTTTTTCAGAGTCAGTAGAAAGGCCTCTTTAGTGTCCTAAGTTTTCATAACTGTGACCTTAATTGCCTACCATCTGTAAGATGTTAGTGTCTTAACGACCGTTCCACAGGTGCATGTTCATTAATTATTTATGGTTCATTGAACAAGCATGGGAAACAGTGTAGTTCTTTGGATTTTTACAAATTATCATTGAAAGACAGGGTCCTGAAAAAGGGACATTTCTTTTTTTGCTGAGTTTAGCTAACTCATGTCTGACTACAACAGTGTACTAACTAGTACCAACAAACCCAAATCAACCCAGGGCCATAGTAAACATGTCACAGTTGGTTACATAGTTGGTTACATAGGTTAATGGCATCACCGGCCTGTATCCAATCGTTGTCTCTCGAGCTATGTTAAAACAAATGGAGGGATGATGAAAATGAAACCTGTTTTTCTGTTAGACAAAGTGCACAGTTGGGTGCCAGACTGATCCCCTGGTCATGAACGGACGCTGGGACCTACCAGGAGCAAAGGTTGGTATCATAACATGTCCAGCAATGTGATTGCAATGATTTAGCGACCTCAAAAAAGAATTTCATTCACTGTTCACTTGATATTTTTACAGCTTGTCAGGCAAGACCGCATGACCCGAGTCATGCGCCACAAGTACCAGCTATGTAACCAACTGTGACATGTTCATTATGGCCCTGGGTTGGTTTGGGTTTGTTGCTGCTATTTAGTACACTGTTGTGACACCTCCTCCGTTGTTGCCAGTCTCCCTCAACTCCTATGAAAAGGACACGCCATCATGAGGCTTCTGATAGTGACCCGAGTTACTGCCCTGATGACACAGATGGCTTCATCAACAATGACAGATAATGTGTGTTGTGTGAAATGTGAAATCGTTTTATTCAAAGAAAATACCCGGCTTGATAAACAATTGGCTAATTCCCCAGCCAAGCAGATACAACTAGTAGAGTCATTTTGGTTGTGAAGTGCATTAGCAAAAAGTTTGGTCCTTTCTTTAGAACAAAATGCAATTTACCACTTGGCCCTCTGTTATATCACCCTGTCACAGGCCCTACTAGTCAACACCACCTCATAAGATTGCCTGCTGCAGTTGTTCGAGAGATGTCCAGTTTGCAGCCGAACATGCAGCATAGAGAAGATCAGCAAGGGGGCCCTCATCAGCATCATGCAGACATGCCCTTACTGTTGCCGTCCTTTGAATGGAACAGTCAGCCACACGTTGGCAAGTATCCTGCCAGCAATCTTCACCTGTCAGTGTCAAAAGCTTTCACAGGCTCATCATTTGTACAAATACAGAACCCAATTGTGAAACAAAATGTATCTAAATTGACATTATGTGTTGCTTATATTCTACTTATTAGATGCATATAATGTCCAGGGCATAACCTAGCCTAGTGGAACCAGCTTGATTGCTGTGTTCACCATTCTATTTCACTTCACATTTTATGATATCTGAAGTGAAATAGAAAGGTGAACACAGCGATCAGGCTGGTTCCACTAGGCTAGGTTAGAAGCAGTGCACTCCAACCTACCCTCACCCAACTGGACAAAAGGAATACCTATGCTGTTCATTGACTGCAGCTCAGCATTCAACACCATAGTCCCCTCGAAGCTCATCACCAAGCTCAGGACCCTGGGACTGAACACCTCCCTCTGCAATTGGATCATGGACTTCCTGACGGGCCACCCCCAGGCGGTGAGGGGAGGCAACAACACATCCGCCAAGCTGGACCATCAACACAGGGGCCCCTCTGGGGGTGTGCTTAGTCCCATCCGTGGATGAAGAGGCGCTGTCCTCTTCACCCACGACTGCGTTCCTCTGTGTCCACATCACTAACATGGTCCATACACACCCACAGAGTTGTGATGAGGACAGTGCCTCTTCCCCCTCAGGAGACACCCCCACCAGGTGTCGCCCATCTTCCCCATTATCCCCTGTGCATTTATACCTGTGTTCTCTGTTCGTCTGTTGCCAGTTCGTCTTGTCTTGTCAGGTCTTACCAGCATGCTTTCCCGTCTTCCTGTTTTCTCAAGTTTCTGTTTCCTAGTTTCCCCTGGTTCTGACCATTCTGCCTGCCCTGACCCCGAGCCTGCCTGCCGTTCTGTACCTGCCTGACTCTGCCCTGGATTACGGACCTCTGCCGGGGGGGCGGATGGGATACCATACAGGAAAGTATGACGACTGACATGTTTGGCAAGGTAGCCCCAGCACCACCAGACAAAATGTTGATAGGTACAGTATCTGTATCGTCTGTGAATGACTATAAAGGATGAAAGACAAGTGTAATATTTGCACATTGTTATATTAGCAGAACACTGCTTCTACAATATTATGTGAAGGATGGTTTATTCTACATGGAACTGTTACACTTGAAAGTTATCAAAACACTTTGTTTAGAATATCTACATAAGTTCTGCAATTGTATTCTTCTAATTTTACTCTGTAGGCTACTCACTACGAGAAGAGGGCCATCCTCCTGCATCTCACATCTGCCTGTAGTTATTGAACTCTGCCTGCTGGGCACATGAGGCAAACTCTTTCATATCCAGGATGGAGTGCCGTACACTCCACCCCTCCTGCCACCGGACTGCAAATGTCCGTAACCTGTAATACATGACATAGATGGAAGGGACTTCATCACCCACTGGAGACTTGAAGACAGAACCTTACCCAGAGAGCTGTGCATGTCTGTGTGACAGCCAAATTTACAGATTTGGTCAAATAGATCACAGAAATAGAAGTGCCATTCTACTTCTGTTTAGACAGCTGAAGTTACACACTATTGATTTTGAATTGTTAGGTAAAGTGTAGGTATTGTGTCTTTATACAGATGAAGTCAGACATTTACATACGCCTTAGCCAAATGCATTTAAACTCAGTTTTTCACAATTCCTGACATTTAATACTAGTGAAAATTATGTGTCTTAGGTCAGTTAGGATCACCACTTTATTTTAAGTAGAGAGAATGATTTATTTCAGCTTTTATTTCTTTCATCACATTCCAAGTGGGTCAGAAGTTTACCTACACTCAATTAGTATTTGGTAGCATTGCCTTTAAATTGTTTAACTTGGGTCAAACATTTCAGGTAGCCTTCCACAAGTTTCCCACAATAAGTTGGGTGAATTTTGGTTGATTCCTCCTGACAGAGCTGGTGTAACTGAGTCAGGTTTGTAGGCCTCCTTGCTCGCAAACGCTTTTTCAGTTCTGCCCACTAATTTTCTATAGGATTGAGGTCAGGGTTTTGTGATGGCCACTCCAATACCTTGACTTTGTTGTCCTTAAGCCATTTTGCCACAACTTTGGAAATATGCTTGGGGTCATTGTCCATTTGGAAGACCCATTTGCGACCAAGCTTTAACTTCCTGACTGATGTCTTGAGATGTTGCTTCAATATATCTGCATAATTTTCCTTCCTCATGATGCCATCTAGTTTGTAAAGTGCACCAGTCCCTCCTGCAGCAAAGCACACCCACAGCATGATGCTGCCATCCTCGTGCTTCACGGTTGGGATGGTGTTCTTCGGCTTGCAAGCAACACCCTTTTTCCTCCAAACATAACTATGGTCATTATGGCCAAACAGTTCTATTTTTGTTTCATCAGACCAGAGGACATTTCTCCAAAAAGTACGATCTTTGTCCCGATGTGCAGTTGCAAACCCTAGTCTGGCTATTTTTGTTGGTTTTGGAGCAGTGGCTTCTTCCTTGCTGAGTGGCCTTTCAGGTTATGTCGATATAGGACTCATTTTACTGTGGATATAGATACTTTTGTACCTGTTTCCTCCAGCATCTTCACAAGGTCCTTTGCTGTTGTTCTGGGATTGATTTGCACTTTTCGCTCCAAAGTACGTTCATCTCTAGGAGACAGAACGCGTCTCCTTCCTGAGCGGTATGATGGCTGCGTGGTCCCATGGTGTTTATACTTCTGTACTATTGTTTGTACAGATGAATGTGGTACCTTCAGGCATTTGGAAATTTCTCCCAAGGATGAACCAGACTTGTGGAGGTCTACAATATTTTTCTGAGGTCTTGGCTGATTTCTTTTGATTTTCCCATGATGTCAAGCAAAGAGGCACTGAGTTTGAAGGTAGGCCTTGAAATACATCCACAGGTACACCTCCAATTGACTCAAATGATGTCAATTAGCCTATCAGAAGCTTCTAAAGCCATGACATCATTTTCTGGAATTTTCCAAGCTGTTTAAAGGCACAGTGAACTTAGTGTATGTAAGCTTCTGACCCACTGGAATTGTGATACGGTAAATTATACGTGAAATAATTTGTCTGTAAACAATTTTTGGTAAAATGACTTGTGTCATGCACAAAGTAGATGTCCTAACCGACTTGCCAAAACTATAGTTTGTTAAAAAGACATTTGTGGAGTGGTTGAAAAACGAGTTTTAATGACTGCAACCTAAGTGTATGTAAACTTCCGACTTCAACTGTATGCACATCAATATGATATTTACAGCAGAAAATGTTTTGTCTTGGTAAAAGGAACATATCCATCAATTTTTATTTGGCCAATGTTTGTTTTATTGAACTGAATTAGCTGACCATCTTGACATGGCGAGTCAGTCAAAACTTAGTTCTCTCCATAGCAAAGCTTGCTATGCTTACCTAGCTGTATTCACTACCGGACTTGTTTGTTGTGATTGAATGGCAAAGAAAAACCCACATCAAACCACACCCCCAAGACAACATTGATGAAAAACAAGGCCAAATCAGGATATGCAGCTGACCTTTTAAGGAGCAGTAAATCGGTGGCCAGTAATGGTTGCAATTGAGATCAGCTGTGCGGGTGATTATAGCACGCATTATTGGTTTAACAAGATATTACCTTGTTTATTGCAATAGGCCCATAATTGTATTACCAGTTTATAGAACAAAGACAATGCTCCTCTAACATGTAGAATAAAGAGTCATGTCAGTTCTTTGCAAGACACTACTTCCACATTACATTAAGAAATAATTTCATGACAGTGGCCCTGTTCGAACACTCCAAAAATGCATCAACTTGGCTTTTCCTTTCATAGTCACTGATCTGTATGTGTGTGGACCGGTAAAAGCAACCAATCCAGTCATCTTAGATCTGTGATTATATCAAGGATGGGAGGAAGGAAGGATGCATTGGAAAGGTATTCAAACAGGGCCATTCACACACCAGCACTCCTACTCCATGTTCCTGGCCTGGACCCTCTTCTCTCTGGACTTGATGTGGAACTGACAGACCTCGGTCCTGGAGAAGCTCAGCTCGTAGGCCAGAACAGTCCACTCAAACCCCAGCACCATGCAGATATCCTGGACAAACATCAGGTTTATCACAGCATCCTAGAAAAAACACCAGAGTTGTGTTTTTCAATAGGCTTGAAACGGACGGAAGCGGACCAAAATTGAGTGACCAAAATCTATTCTATTGTCCAATAAGAAACAGTTGTTTTTCGTTGCAAAAGGTTTTGCTATGGTGTGCCAGAAGACAAAAACTCATTATGGGCTACATTTGTAATTAGGTAGTGACCTGGAGGAAAAAAAAAACATTTTCAACAATAATATTAAAGGGTTAAGGTTAGGGTTAGTGGAGTGGTTAACTAACATGCTAAGTAGTTGCAAAGTACCAAGTACAATTTGCTAAAACGCTCAAGTTGTCCGTGATAAGATTCGAACACCCTACCTTTGGGTTGCTAGACGTTTGCGTTGCATGCCCACCCATTCACCCTGACCAAGCACCCTCCACTCATTTTTGCCTCAAGTAACCTTCTGTCTTATGTAACCATTCCAAACATAATATACACTAATTTGAGTGTCCCGGATTTATGTTTACTATGTTACGTCTAGTCTATGAGACCCGGCTGCAGGAATACGGGCTTTCAAAAATGAGGGAAACATAAATGTAACAGACATGATGGAACACATTACATTTATTTAAATGTCTGGAGAAATGTGTAGGCCAATGGGTATTATTTTGGAAAGCTTTTATTTACATTGTATAATGCACTCATTCCTTTTCAATACCATGTGTTTTAGAAAAAGAGTCACAACTCCCCTACAGTGGCTTGCGAAAGTTTTCACCCACCTTTGCATTTTTCCTATTTTGTTGCCTTTCAACCTGGAATTAAAATAGATTTTTTGGGGGTTTGTATCATTTGATTTACACAACATGCCTACCATTTTGAAGATGCTAAATCTTTTTTCTTGTGAAACAAACAAGAAATAAGACAAAAAAAACAGAAAACCTGAGCGTGCATAACTATTCACCCCCCCCCCAAAGTCAATACTTTGTAGAACCACCTTTTGCAGCAATTACAAGTCTCTTGGGGTATGTCTCTATAAGCTTGGCACATCTAGCCACTGGGATTTTTGCCCATTCTTCAAGGCAAAACTGCTCCAGCTCCTTCAAGTTGGATGGGTTCCACTGGTGTACAGCAATCTTTAAGTCATACCACAGATTCCCAATTGGATTGATGTCTGGGCTTTGACTAGGCCATTCCAAGACATTTAAATGTTTCCCCTTAAACCACTCAAGTATTGCTTTAGCAGTATGCTTAGGGTCATTGTGCTGCTGGAAGGTGAACCTCCGTCCCAGTCTCAAATCTCTGGAAGACTGAAACAGGTTTCCCTCAAGAATTTCCCTGTATTTAGCGCCATCCATCATTCCTTCAATTCTGACCAGTTTCCCAGTCCCTGCAGATGAAAAACATCCCCACAGCATGATGCTGCCACCTCCATCCTTCACTGTGGGGATGGTGTTCTTGGGGTGATAGCGTTTTCCTTGATGGCCAAAAAGCTAGATTTTAGTCTCATCTGACCAGAGTACCTTCTTCCATATGTTTGCGGAGTCTCCCACATGCCTTTTGGCAAACACCAAACGTGTTTGCTTATTTTTTTCTTCAGGCAATGCCCAGCTCTGTGGAGTGTATGGCTTAATGTGGTCCTATGGACAGATACTCCAATCTCCGCTGTGGAGCTTTGCAGCTCCTTCAGGGTTATCTTTGGTCTCTTTTTTGCCTCTCTGATTAATGCCCTCCTTTTCCTGGTCCGTGAATTTTGGTGGGCAGCCCTCTCTTGGCAGGTTTGTTGTGGTGCCATATTCTTTCAATTTTTTAATAGATTTAATGGTGCTCCGTGGGATGTTCAAAGTTTTGGATATTTTTTTATAACCCAACCCTTTGTCCCTGACCTGTTTGGAGAGCTCCCTGGTCTTCATGGTTCTGCTTGCTTGGTGGTGCCCCTTGCTTAGTGGTGTTGCAGACTCTGGGGCCTTTCAGAAGAGGTGTATATATATTGAGATCATGTGACAGATCATGTGACACTTAGATTGCACACAGGTGGACTTTATTTAACTAATTATGTGACTTTTGAAGGTAATTGGTTGCACCAGATCTTATTTAGGGGGTTCATAGCAAAGGGGGTGAATACATATGCACGCACCACTTTTCCGTTATTTATGTCTTAGAATTTTTTTTACAGGTTATTTACAGGTTGTTATGCAACAAAATAGGAAAAATGCCAAGGGGGATGAATACTTTTGCAAGGCACTGTATATGTGCAATTGTGTTTTACAGTACAATTGTTTCTCAGAATGAACATTCAAAATAGCAACTGTCCTGTAAACTGTAATGATAAGAAAGAGAAACAGAGCTACATTTGAGCTTTTATGATTGCAATATTTTCCGAAAGAATTCTGAGCATTTGTCTGAATCAACAACAGTACTCGTAAAAAGTGCCATTAGTTCTGAAAATAACAAATAAAGTTAATAAAATCAATTCCAAAACTTCTATAACAGGCACAAAATACTTAAAAACAATTGTTAAATTCATCTAAATCCATACTTAGACACTTGTTTCACAGTCCTCGATATTAAACTGGAAGGGACAGTTCGAAATTCCAACTCGAGGGGTCATAAAAAAAAGCACACCCTCCCCCTTCATAAAATTACCAAAATAATAATGATCACCACAAATAATAACTGTAGCAACCCTGTGTTTATAAACGTGGATATCGACTTTACCACTTCAGCATGGTTTTGTGGCACAGTTGATGCCAAGTAGGGCTACGGGCCAGAAGGTTGATGGTTCACCGACCACTATGGATGAGCTCACTCTTCCTGCCTGGCTCATTACACTACAATGAGAGCCAGCTGCAGACAATGATCAGCTAGGAGGAAAATAGATTTTCAACATTTTGATGCTATATTTATAATTATATAAAATATATGCAATACATTTTCTACCAACAGGTTTCTGTGCCATGCACCACACACATACGGGGACTCGTCGGAAGTCGGTACAGCCGATCTGCCAACTTCTGTCTGTAGCATCCAAACATTTTGGGCTACACACTAATATGGCCCCTCTGTGGAAAGGTGAGACTCTCACGAACACGTACATGTCAGTTGCTGTAGAACTCCCACAGGCCTCACAATATGGTCTGAAGGTACCCGGTACCAGTTGAACAAATTAATGGAAGTATATATGGAGACTGTTTAGTGCCAAATATAATGGGTTAAATAAATACATGTAAAATAAAAAAATGTTTACTGATTTTTTTATATATATTTTTTGATACTTCAACGGGTCTTAAAATTATAAATCAAATAGCAAAATGAGCCTTGCTATGGCCTTCTTAAAACAATTCCATATAGCTTATTAGAATGGGGCGGCAGATAGCTTAGTGGTTAAGAGCATTGTGCCAGTAACTGAAAGGTCATTGGTTCAAATCCCCGAGCTGACTAGGTGAAAAATCTGTCGATGTGCCCTTGAGCAAGGCACTTAACCCTAACTGCTCCTGTAAGTCGCTCTGGATGAGTGTCTGCTTAAATGTAGAATCCCTATTTTGTTAGCTATTTATCAGTCTTATTGCTTGGGTACAAAAGCTGTTCATGAACCTGTTGATGTCAGACTTGATGCACCGGTACCACTTGCCGTGCGGAAGCAGAGAGACTAGTCTATGGCTTGGGTGGTTGGAGTCTTTAACGATTTTCCGGGCCTTCCTTCCACACCGCCTGATATAGAGGTCCTGGATGGCAGGGAGCTCGGCCCCAGTGACGGACTGTCCGCACCACCCTCTGTAGCGCCATGCGATCGAGGGCGGTGCTATTGCCATACTAGGCAGTGATGCAGCCTATCAAGATGCTCTCAACTGTAGAACTTTTTTAGGATTTGAGGGCCCATGCCAAACTTTTTCAACTTCCTGAGGGGGAAGAGGCGCTGTCGCGCCTTCTTCACGACTGTGCCTATGATTCCACCTTATTCCTATATTGTCATTTGGCTCGTTCGATGACTCTGCGGAGGTCATAGCGGGACTTCTTGTACTTATTCCTGTCCTCGGCCGTAGCCTCAGGGTTGTCTACGATAGCTCTGTGTGTGGTAGCTCTGTCCTTTAGTTTAGCTTCAACCTCAGTGTTAAGCCAGGGCTTTGATTTAGGAATCCTCACCGTGGGGACAACGTCGGCGGTGCATTTTCTAATGAAGCCGGTGACGGAGGTGGTTATCTCGTCAATGTTATCGGCGAAGTCTGGAAACATATTCCAATCAGCGCTAGCAAAGCAGTCCTGTAGCATAATCTCAACGAAGTGAGTCACGGGTACTTCCTGTTTGACATTCTGCTTGTAAACAGGAAGCAGGCGTACAAAGTCATGATTTGCTGAATGGCGGACGAGGGAGGGCCTTGTATGCTTGCTTGTGGGTAGAATAACAATGGTTTAGGACTTTATCGCCCCTAGTGGTGTTGGAGGCGTGTTGATGGAAGTTGGGCATCACGTGTCTTAGTGATGCGGAATATAAAGAAGCAGCCTCTGGATGTAGTTTTTTTTGGGGACCGACTCGCCAATGCAATCTACTTCTTTTTAAGTGCGCAGGGGCGTGTCTAGCGTGGTTTTCCTAACTTATTTTGCGCACGCCCAGTGCACAAACCACGCAGTGGTTTGACATTTTTGAAAGCCAGCTAGTCAGGCAGCAGATAATGGAGAAGACTTTCCGCAGGAGAGGGATTTTTGAAATCGTTGAGAAACAAACAAACTTTACTCGGTGTGGTGGAGGTTCGGCACGGCCGTGCTATGAATGGGTCAGAGATGGTAGGATATAGTGATGGAGAGGAAAGGGAAGCAAGTATGGAACATAGTGGTACAAATAAAGGAGGGAGTAAGAAAGAGAAAAAGAAAGCGGGAGAGAAAGGGAGTAGGGGTATGAAGGGGAGCGAGAGTTCTATGGAGGTAGAGAGGAGGCAGAAAAGGAAGTTTGAGGAGAGCAACCTAGATTCCAACGATAGTGGAAGTTCGCAGAAAGTGCAGAGGAAGGGCAAGATAAGACACGAGAGGAACATGGAGGTGAGG